CAATGCCATTGTTTTCTTATTGCTTTGCCCAGATGCCTCTCCAAGAACAAATGGACTTTTAAGAAAAAAAAAATAAGGCTTATCTAGATTTCAATTTTTTCCCAGTGCTTAAGCCATGAGTGTTACTGGAATCCAGGACAAGACATTGTGACATTCAAAAAATCTGGATATTTTAATGGCCAAAATTAATTTCGATGTAATAAATGCCAACTTGCCAAACTATTAAGAAAAATAAAAGCGCTTCTATAAGAATTAACGAACAGAATTAATGAAAACCAATGCTGATACTGGCACTTACATTTTTTAGTTTATCAACCTAAATATACTCGTTAACTCAGCTTACTTTTTAATTTTATTTTTCAACTTCTGAATTAGCTGTTTATCTTTTTTCTTCACTATTTTTTTTCTCAACTTAATTTCCAGTAGGTAATATATCGGTCAAGGGCTCATCTAATTGGTCAAATGCCAAAATAAGATGTACAGCCATGTAGCTGTATCTTTGCTGAATGGCTGGATATAGATGTTGTGCTTCTAGACCTCACTGATGAACGGGGAAACTATTTGTAAGGGGTATGTATGCAAGTGAAAAAAATAAACTGTAACCTGCCCTATAAAGGGTTAACCATTGGTGTTTTGGTTGTTAGTTTTTACACTTTCACTAAAGTCTATACAAAGCTGTTTTAGAATAAAACTACGGTATATTGCGCCGCTGTTTCAAAGTGGAGGATGAATACAGATAACTGCATTACCAGCTCTTTGACCCTAGTGCTTCTGTCTGTCCCTGTAAAATGTAGTTGAAGCACATGGCACCAAATTTAGCGACACCATGTAGTATAACTCATTTAAAGATGGTACTAATTTATAAGGAGTTCCAGAGGTATGGCAGTTGGCCAATGAAACACATTTGGGTTCTTTTAATATGGAACAAAAGTGTGTCTACTGATCTAAACTCCTGATATACTTTAATTTCTATGTGTTGCGGGACACATATTAGTCAGGAGGTAAACTAGAACAAGCAGCCGTTTAATATAATAGGCCTGGAGATACTGTATGTCTAAATTTATTCCACATAAACGGAGTACACTCACTGTAACATAAAATGTTGGTTCCATTTGTAGGTAGAACTATCTTAACACCAGGTGGGCCTGCCTCTGCTCAAAAGGCCAAAAGTTTGTCCCAGTCCAGCCCTGATTCAATCCCTTGACATTTAAATTCTTCTGAATCCTTTTATCTGTGATGTGATTTGAACTCTTAAATTTTACATATCTAGTGTTTTTTCCTTCACTTTTGTTTATTTAAAGAATGAAAGTCAATTCTAATTTGATCAACTGTTATTATTCATCCAACACAATCAACCTTTTTACTTCATATACTGTTATACTGTTTTGTTTTAAACAAATATTAGATTGCTTGTTGAGGACCAGTAGAAAACATTTAAAATCATCTCATGTTTAACTTAGTGTGTTTTCAGCCAGTATAATCAGTTACTGCACTCTACTTGAGAGTGAAAACATAATTTTGAATTAAATAAAATAAACTTATGTTAAGTTTGTAGTGGGAAAAGATGAAAATATGGGGGGAACCCCTGACCCTGATAACTGACCATGTGACCTGCTACTTGCTTCCAGATGGCTGTGTGTGGGTGTGCTTGTTTTTCTTAAAAGGCAAGGACAATTTTATGTTAAAGGGACACTATGCAACATTTTTCAGTTAATTAATGTGTTCCATAACGTTATGGATGACTAAATGAGTCATTTCAGGTTGAACAAAGGTATTCTCGGCCGCCCTGGTGGTCTGTGGGGGAAATACTGCACTTGCAACTGCAGGAGCCCTCGACCCGCACCCACAGGCTCAGAAGTCTCACGAGAGTCGGTCTTGCTTTACG